TCCATACGAGAGAAGAGGAAGTCGTGTCACAGAGACGAAGCAAATGCAGCTTCTTGGGGTGTTAGGACTCAGATGAACATGCTGGGCCATGGCTCTTGGGAGTGTTGCCTACGTGGCATTGCACACGCTTTCCAAACAGTTCAGAACTTAGGGCTTTGCACTGAACTTCACACCTGATTGTCACGTAGGCCTCGTACGGGGTCCACCTGCAAATCCACTTCAATCTTCTGCGCTTTTCTTTCTCAGAAAGCGATAAGTACTTCCAACACGCCTGAAGTCAGTTGCAGCCCCAACCCTTCACTAGCCATCAGGCCATCATCAGAGCGAACAAGGTGGGATGCCGAGAGTCGCTTGTTCAGACTTGTTCATTTCATCTTTGCCAAAAGTATGTGTGTATGGATACATACATCTTAGCTTTTTCAGTATCAGGCGAGTGTGTGTGGGTGCATGAGAGATGCAGCAGCGTAGCCGCCACACCTTCAAGCGAACCAAGCTCTTGCACCACTTGCCGCAATTCACGACATGGCACTGTACATGTTTCAGAAGGTTCTCAGGAGGGTGCCCCACGGGGTCTGTGACTTCGCGTGTGTGCTTGTTTTCCTCCAGGTTACATGCATCAAAAAGAGAGGAATGAGCCGAACTCCGCTCAAAACCCCAGCAGCTGGATTTCCGAGTCGACACAGATATGCCGATCGTTCAAAGAAGAAGAAGAAGAAGAAGAAGAAGAGTGCAAAGATACCCTCTCTGTCCGTGCCTGAAACCGGAACAGGGATGCCTGCAACCTGCTGCTTTGGCTCAGGCTTTCCGACCCCACGGGTACACCCCGATGCCCTGAGCCCTTGAGACTCCCACCGCCTCTGGACAGGCAAAGTATCGGGTCTATCCGCAAAAGTTCAGGACTGCTCTGTTCATCGGGTCGAGGGCCACGAGGTCATGATTTCTGGCAAATGGAGACAAAGTAGACTCATTAGCGCTGCTAGTGCATAAAGAGTCGGTTGTCAGTACAGGTAGAGCTATTGCCAATAGAATGAAAGAGTCAATTCCTCGGCTACTGTTTGATGTAGCTATACGAGCCAGTACAGTATCCAGAACTACTGTTAAGGCTTTAAGAAAAATGTTACTGCAAGATGCTATGGTAATGTGTGTTCAGTGTTTGGGGTTCAAGCCTTCCTTGCATGGACTTCGGGTTCAAGGGCTTCGATTCAAACATTTGGGATCCCGCTTTACAATGCTGAATCTTCGACATTCGGCTTTCCCACCACAGCCTTCGCTAAACCACGGCAAGCCTGCAACAATCCCACCGAAATCTGCGAAAACCAAAACGAGAACAACCGGGTTTCTTGGACCATTGCTTCATCCATGTTTTCTTTGGCCATAGCATTTGAACAGATTCTTCCACAGATGAGATGGCATTCGTGAGAAGTTGAAGTTCCCCGGTGGGCATGCAAGTGCTTCACCTTTTTATTCAAGCCTTTCCCAAAGCTCGGTTTTGTGGGCTTTCTTCTGGGACTGCATCCGTTGCTTAGCACAGAACGAGCAAGTCCCAACTCCCAACCTTATCCCACGACCTTTTCCTTCTGCAAGGGCGCTGAATTCTTTTGACTGGCCACTTCATGAATCTCAGCAAGATGTCGCCACAAAGCGCCAAAAAAAACCAACGCAGTTTGAGCCACGCTGCGTGCCCTTGACAGGAGTGATCTGTGTGAGCTGCGCCTTTCCTGCGACAAGCTGCAGGCGAAGCTCTAAGCATGTGTTCTACTGGCTGGAGGTATGTATAGAGCCTTATCATGACCCTAGAGGCAGTGAGTGCACCTTGAATCCTGGAAAAATCCGTACGGCCCCCACACACCCTAAACCCCGACGTTCGGGCTTTGAAGGTAACAACACGGGGCACCTGAGCCTCAGCAAAGCTTAACACAGTTATTAACACATAAAGCCCCCAGCATCCCAAAAGCGGGCTGCGAGAAGGTGGCTTCTTCGGGGGAGAGTTCGGGAAACGAATAGAGCTGAAAGGAGATGCGAGTTGTCGATGCAGACCTGTGCAACTTGAAGCTACTCGTAGGACAGTTCTAGGAGGGTTGGACGTGCGTAGACTACCCAGATAAACGGCTTCCGGGGCATGCATTGTGAATACGCGTCCCATCCGAAAAGGATGTGGTCTCGTCTTTCATCTCTCATGTTAATGTCGATTCTGCCTCTATTGCCCTATGCCATGGCATCAGGCAATGACCTCCTTTACCAACACGCTTGAGGCGCTGGGCGGACGGGGGGGGCTTCCCATTTTCACTTGGTCATGAGTTGTTGTTCTTTTCGTCTTGCTCAGTCTGGCTCGAAACCTCCTAATGCATGTGTTTAGGACACTGCGCTTTGGGTTTCGGGGTTGGAGTTCGACCCGGGTGCATAACAATCTGGCCCAACAGCCTGAAGCCCCTTAAGACCGAGACCCGTGAGCCTGCGAGCTGTGCAGCACCACAGCATCGGGAGCTGCCGAATTCTGACCATTGGAACTCAGCGAACTTCTAGAAACTTTCTGAAGGGCTCATATGGGATCCAAGGGCTCCGGCCGTGAGCCCCAAAAGCTCTGCTCCGCCGGGATCAGGCTGTGCCGCCGGAGCTGTCAGACCCGCTGAAGGAGCCGGATCTTTCTTCCCGTTGCCTCCCGACATGCCTTGCGAGCGGTTGTAGACCCTTTTGCAGGTGCAAGTGGGGGGCAAGTTGAGAAGTGGTGAAAGCCAAACTCAAACAAGCCGAACCATACTCCAAGACAGCATGATCTCTACCGAGACAACACGCCCACCACTCCCACCAAAGTCCCAACCAAACTACACAGCGACAGCTGTCGCCTGCCCTGCATCACTTAAAGCTGCTAAGCTGCAAAGATGCCCCTGTCTCGGAGGAAGTGCAGGCTGCGAGCTCAGCATTTTCCCTCGGAGGGCTGGGCATACGCATAAGCCTTCTTCTTGAAGCCTTGAACCCTGCGGTTCTCAGTTCCAAGCCTCCGCACTGGAGCTCCCAATCGGAGTCCGGAAAGCATCGGGCTTGGGTGGTTCGGGGACATCTAGGTTTCAGAATGATCAAAAAGCCCTGGCACCCTGAAGATCATTCAGATTTGTGGGCCCTAGCTCCATGGGGCACTCCTTCGAACTCTTTCTGACTGAGGTCTGAGATGTCACCCCTTTCCGGAACTCGCACCGGCGTTTTGAAGTCTACGCTGGCGGCAGGCTGTCAGACCCAATGTGAGCCTGATAGTGATGTGACGGGAAATCCAAAGCCATTCAAAGCCCCTATAGGCTCCATTGTTATCCTCTCCCACAGCGCTGTTAATACCCCGCCCTCTTACGGGCAGGCTTGCGACTAACCTCAAACCCCTCCAAATCAGCAACTACGCGTGCGTCCGATGCCTGCCGCTGCTTTGCGGCGAACAGCGCCGGCGTCGTCGCCATAGGCGAGTTTGACACTTCGCGCGCTTTGGATTTTCAAAAGTCGGCGACCCCTGCCCGGTTTTGAAGTCCAGTGAAAGTGACTGATAGGTTTAGGGTTTAGGTGTAGGCTTTAAGGTGTATGCTTTTGGGGTTTGGCCATCTTCGTGAGGCACCAGCGCCAAAGCCTAATTTAGGGTTTAGGGCTGTTGACGTTCCGCTGCCCATGACTTGACATGTTTGCTTGAACCTTTCACTCATGAAGGCATTGATCCGATCGGTCCACTCTCTCGGCCCGAGTCTTCGTGCGTGCATGAGGACGCAAGAATTGCAACTTAAACGTTACAAGAAAGAAGCACCACCCCATTCCCATTGCCCATCCTCCGCGAATGTCTATGTTCCCAAACGTAACCTGAGGCCCTGCTTGCGATTCATGTTGTTTTAGAGGATTGAGGGGTTTTGTTTTTACGGGCTGAGGGCTTGAGCCGCCTGGAAGGTCACCCGCCCTCGCCGCAAAAAGAAATGCGACGCCACAAACCTAATGTAGGGGTCGGAATAACTACTAATGGTATTCCCTTATGGTCCCTTTATAAATGTACCATAATAACCCCCCCAAACCCTATTAAAAATCATTGAGGCCCTCAGATTACACTGGAAGCTGCCGCCTTCATGTGCCAATGGCAGCCGACAGCCGACCGTCACTCGACGACTTCGCCTGTGCGAAGCACGCCAACTACTTCAGGCAGCATGCCAAGAGCCTGGGCCAGCACTTTGGAAGTTTAGGGTTTAGGGTTTAGGGTTTAGGGTGCAGGGTTTAGGGTTTAGGGTTTAGGGTTTAGGGTTTAGGGTTTAGGGTTTAGGGTTTAGGGTTAGTAGTATTCCCTTATGGTCCCTTTAAAATTCTCCTGCAGTATATCCCCCAAAAACCCTACTCTCCATAATTAAGGCCCCCATATTGGCCCGAAATTCAAAGCTTGCAGAGAAACGCGAAAGTGCTACAACCCGGCCAGTCAGCTGTGGGAACAGATGCTGTCCATCGAATTTCCTTCCGTCCCCTACCCGGGTTTTATGTTATGTATAGATATTTAATTCAATTGTATAAGGTGGAATGCATCATGTACAGTTTATACAGAGTTTGATATAATTTTGTGAATATATATGTATCTATATATATTCACATACATGTCGATACCGTTTTCTTTGATGTATTGACAAAGCCAAGCCAAAGCTAAGCCATTCTGAAAGGCCAAGCGTGTTGGAAAGGCTGCTATTTCATGCAGCCTGTTGAGGTATAGGAGACTTGTAATGCACCGCATTTGGACCCTACAAACATTCAGATTGTCACTGTTATGATTTTTTCGACCAACACCATGCGAGTCCTTTCGAAATACCCCCCCCCCCCCCCGCCTCCCCGGCAAACCCAACCCCTTTCCCCCTCCAACCCGAACCCCCCGTCCCTTCTCAAACCCCCTCCTCAACCCAACCCCCCCCACCGCCACTTCTTAAAGCCGTGCAAGCTTGCTGTAAATATCAGCCGACCATCCAAAGTTTCTTAGGACGCTGCCAGAACAGTACAAGACCATGGACGTGAACCGCCTGCCACCTGGTTCAAGGCCTTTGGAGCTTAGGGAAATATAGCCAAAATCTCCCGAAGTGGACCTTGCTTCGGATTGCTGCCGGTGGAGCCAAGATTTGGGGAGGAAAGATCAAGGAGGTTGGCACTGGCGACATGTGGCACACTGGTAAGCCCGAAAGGCTTCAACTCTCGACCGAGCGTTTAGGGCTGACGATGTCTCGGGTTTAGGGTTTCGAGTTTAGGGTTTACGGGTTTAGGGGTTTAGGGTTTAGGGGCTGAGGACACTGCTCTACTTCAGCGTGTCTGGGCTGGACTTGCTGGGGAAGCTGGACGACCTGGACCGGGAGCAGACCATCGAGCGCTGGCGGCTTAAATTTGGCGGGCTGTGCTTTAAGAAGATAGTTAGAATAGGGTTTCGGGGTTTGGGTTTAGGGCTTGAGGTTTAGGGTTTAGTTTTTTTGTTTTTTTTTTTGGGGGGGGGGGGCAGAATATTGTAGTAAAATTGCAAAGGGACCATAAGGGAACATTTTTAGCAATTGTTCCGACCCCTATATTGCACAAGCCAATTTGCCAGTGTCCTGCTGCTGAAGGACATTCTGTCTAAGATTCAGACTTTGAGAAGGCTCCACGGCCGTCCTTTCCGAACCACCGGGCCTTGTTTCTTAACGAGTCAAGAATATTGGGGTTTAGAATTTGGAGCTCTGAGTCCAACACCCCATAGTTGCCCTAAACCCTGCAACCGAAACCCTAAACTAAACCCTCAACCCCAAGTTGGCCCTTGGGCTAGGTACATCTACTCCTACCAGTCGCCGCTGCCGGATCATGGCGGCTTCTATGGCTGTCCCCGGGTCGATTTCCAAAGTGCAGAGATCGACAAGTGTCTCTCGGTCGGCTTTTGACCATCCCCAGGTTTTTTTTGTTGCTTCTAAGATTCTAGGGTTCAGAGTTTAGGGTGCCGGGTTTAGGGCTTGGCGATGTTGAGCCTGAAAAAAGTTGGGAAGTAGGTGTTGCGACTGTGCCCCCCCCCCCCCCGCTAGGTGTACAGCCTGGCCGCATGCCTCAACCAGGTACCACATGAACTGTAATCGTGCCGATTATGCTTCTTCGGGTCAAAGGGCCCCGTGAGCAAACGGGTAAAAAGGGACGGTCCTTGAGCGCTTCGTCATTCAAAGGCTGCAAGATCCCCAAACCCTAAATACCTGGTGGAGCCAGTCTTGGCTTTTTCGCAATCTGGGTTTCGCTACCGTGGGTGGCTGTAAAGTTTTGGCAATTCTTCAGTGCCTCGGAGAAGAGGCAACAACCAGCCCCACATCGCAAACACCTACGTCGCGCTCGTCATGCTGAGCCTGGGCGTCACGACTGTCAGCTTTGGCTGAGATGCACATGGGGGTTCCGAAATTAAGGGTACCTTATTGGGGTCCTTATCATAAAGGAATCCTACAATTTAGGGGTCTATTTCCGGGTGCCTTATATTTGTAAACTCCCACGTGTTTTACAACGATGCAAGAGCCCGATGGTTTTATACTGTGGAACTTTGTGCAAACGGCAGAGCCTGGGGCAACATCCAGAATTTCCAAGCGCCCACAACAAGCCGTTGCAGCACCGGGAAGGTTTGTTTCAAAGCCATGTGCAGCCGAGCCACTCTTTCCCCCCAAACTGCCTTAGCGGGCTAAACCACTCCCTGGTCCGGTCCACATGGGAGCCACAACCGATAACATGAAGCAACTGGATGCTTGGCGGGGCTAAGGATCATTCTGGGTGATGATCTCCGACGCGCGCTCTACATGCAAGAGTTTGTAAGGAACGGTTCAGCTGACCCTTGTTGTGGATCACGGTGCTACAACGCCAGCATTCGGGTCTCGGATGTTTGTTTTTTTTTAATGATGACGATTGTCATTGTGTCAACCAGCAAGCCGACCAACCCATCGTTCATGAGAACAAGTCCATGAAACAGGGTCACCATGCCATGATATGCTATGAAGCTAACTTACTGTAGTGGTGCCATTTTCGAGCTGTGTGGCTCTCTTGCCGTAGTCAAACTTATCAGCTGCCGGTTGGGTTTGTAATCCTGCAAAGTGCCCGTTATTAGGTAGTACTCCAGGCTGCCGCGTCCCAAAAGGCATTCCTGAAATTCCTTGACAAGCAGCCCATGAGCCCCATTAGCTGGATCGGAATCCGACTTGAGGGCTGGGCCTAACACTTGAGGGCTTAACTTAGGGCCCAGAAAAAAAATAAACCCTTTAAGGGATTATACAGGGTACCTCATTCCTCGATTCCCTCCTAACCAACAGTAAGTGAAAGGTCAACCGGAGTTCGATTGGCCACTCGCTGCGGAAGTGGCAGCTGGACGACGGGAGCTTTTGCAGCTTGCCGCAGATTACTGCTCAGTTCGAAGTTCATCCAGACCGCCAAAATGTTAAGCCCCACTCGGCCCTGCAGAACACCTAAGCCCGTATCGAATGACTTGAGGTCGGGGGTGTGAAGAGGACCTCTTGAAAACGTGGG